TCTTGTTGTGTTAATGAGGTATGGCAACTTGGACCGATGCCTGGTCCCACGTTGTAGCTGACTGACTGTTTACTTCTCTAATAAACATACTCCTATGTGAATAGTGACAAGCATCACAGAATTGATATTCACTCTGGAATTCGAACGTAGGGCTCAGTATTTATGTGGATAATGCGATGGCGTTTGAAGGGGACGGTACTGAGTTTGCATCACATAGTGAACATCAACTCTGTGATGTAGGTACATCCAGTTGACCAGTCCCAAATAGGACGAAATGTGCATCAAACTGGATTCCACTGATAGCCACTATCCATCTTTGCTTAGAATGATTGTGAACTAATACAACATCAAGGCAATCCGTACAGGATGTACATATATCAATAAGAGACTGATCAATCGCAGTCCTAATCATCGATGGGAAGATTCAAGTAAAGTAATACCAAGTAAATTAATACTTCTTATGTGATTATTATTATTATTATTATTATTATTATTATTATTATTATTATTATTATTATTATTATTATATCTGTAATTACGTCCATTGGAATAACAGGAAAGATAACTTGTCCTGTTCTTTTGATCTCAATTATTTTAATGAATTGGCGGGAACCTGGAGAACTATGAAAGTCATCATCCAGAAGATACAAGTATTTATTAACAGTTGTCTACACAAAATACTTCGGATTCGTTGACCAGACACTATCATCAACATCCTACTGTGAAAGAGAACAAACCAGATTCCAGTGGAGGAAGAAATCAGGAGGAAGCACTGGAAGTGGATAGGACACACATTGAGGAAAGCACCCAAGTGTGTCACAAGACAAGCCCTCACATGGAATCCTCAAGGCCAAAGGAAAAGAGGAAGACTAACGAACACATTACGCTGAGAAATGAAGACAGACATGAGAAGAATGAACAAAAATTGGATAGAACTGGAAAGGAAGGCCCAGGACAGAGTGGGTTGGAGAATGTTGGTCGGCATTCTATGCCCCATTGGGCATAACAGGCGTAAGTAAGTAAATTTCAATGGATTAGTTTAAAACAATCACAAGAAATGAGACTCAAACAAACATAAAATCAATAATCAATATTCTACTAACCCAATAGAATATATACTTTGTCATTTTCCTTATATTCACTTGTCGACTGACAAACGTTTCATTCGGTATATTGATTTGTTTATTATTTATGTATGCTTATATGTATATATATATATGTTAAGGGTGTATACACTACAGTGTATAATCCTATCCATTGTTACCATATAACTTACCTAGTCAAACTAATCTAGTTATTGGAAATTGAGTATAATTACATTTATCCATATACATACAGTATGACAACATATTTTGAAAGTTTCACCATAGTTGAAAGTATACATACTATGGATACAGTAATGATTTAATAGCATAGGCTATTAATAATTTCCTTCTTGTAAGATAGATTAATTCATATTGTAGATTAGGTTAGTCAAAATGACATTTAAAATTGAGTATAGTGATTTTAATAATTATAAATCCGAGAAGGATTTTATGGATATTATAGTCAGTCAGCAGTTGAATTCATGAGTCAATTGAAGCTAGACCACCAAGGGAAAACCTGGAAGCACTGGATGGCTGTTTCGTCCTTTTGTGGGATTCTTCAGCAGTGTGCATCCACGATCTCACCTCACAAGATTCGAACCCTGGACTTATCAGTCTCGCGCCCGAACGCTTAACTTCTAGACCATTGAGTTGGCCGGCATCCAATAGTGTGAATGTCTAAATTCAACTAATCCACGAAATTGAGCTGCACATCCACCATAATCATCAGTGAATTACTATCTGACAACAGACCCGGTTGAACTCCGCTGGTCACTGGTTCTCCTTAGAACTCTAGGAAAATTCCTTTTGATAATAATCAGAGGGGAGTCACAATAACTTAACCGATTTATATCCAAGTGTTATATATTCTAATATCCCCATTTTTCAACTACATACTCTATAAAATTAATGTTGAATTATGTCAGATTATTCTTTTTTTTGAGGAGTTGCTGATAGTAGTAGATAAAAAGCGATAGGGTAAGGTTTCATTTAAATTGATATTTATCACCAAGATGTATCTTCAGTCCTAAAGGAACTGATATTAATCACCTGTCCCATATAGTCTTCAAGTCAGAGATGTTATCATTCAGATAAATGAATGTGATGTATGGACATCGATTATCCCTAAAAACGTCCATAGAGATATCGCCCTTTTTAGACCTGTGGGCACATTACAAGTTAACTGATATTTGTAAACATGTAAAAAAGGTGACAAGAAGATGAAACTAGAAAATATGTCCTTTCTGGTTACTTTGATGTAAATTTATATTATCAAATGAGTAGCGAGTTTGAATTTTTGGTGAAATCTCATTATATGGTATATGTTGATAAACAAAATAATGAAAAAGTTGTTCTTAGCAATAAATCATGATGAATTTCATTTTCATTCACGAAATTGCGCAACCATCTCCCATTGTACTGAGGTAGATACCTGTCTCTACCCGACTCGGGTTAGTTCAACTGGTCACGGTTTCTCATTAGAACTTCGAAAATTCACTCACAAAGCTAGTCACTAGTGAGCTCATGGTAATTACCAATATGAGGTTTATGGAAGCTGTGACCAATGGAACTAATCTGTGTCTGGTAGAGACAAGTATCTGCCTCAGTACAATCGAAAATGGTCGCGCGATTTCGTGGATTGAGATTAGACATTAACAATGTTTGAGACCGGCTCAGTGGTCTAGAGGTTAAGCGTGTGTGAGCGAGACCGAAAACCCTTGATTCGAGGTCTCACGAGCGGGACCGTGGATGCGCACCGCTGAGAAGTTCCACAGTAGAACAAAACGGCCGTTCAGTGCTCCCAGGTTTTCAATGATAGTCTAACAGCAATCGGTTCATGATCTCAATCAAAAACTTAATAATCTCCACAACCCCATACTGATTTATATTGAATTACAAAACAGGTTAAAAGATTGTATTTCAATACCATATACACTGTGATGAATTATCCTACAGACTTTGAATTAATCGAGTGATTTGCACTGAAGTCTGAACAGTTTATATTGCTGACAAAAAGCACATCGAACAAAATTATTTTCTACACAATCTTACTACTTACAAGTAGACAAAATAAATAAACGAAATTCTAACCGATGAGCATGCTTCTAATCTACAGTAAAGATCTAGAGGACGATCTTCTTGGAATAAGACTAGCGATAAGTTTCAACTAAATTGAGATTAAACTCGTTTTTATCTCCCAGATTCGCTTCCCGTATGTTGACCTTTGTCTGTTTCAAGTACTACTTTAGCTATTAAAACTCTCTAGTTTGACTCAACTTCAGATGTTTAAATGTCTCATGCTTTTTAACAACGTCCTACCTGTGTTATTCGTTTTTGTTTCATTCTCAATGCTTCATTACTTTCTTCACCTTGTTATAGAGTTTCATTCGCATGTCTTTTGATTTACTCATTCGTATGGTGGAATATTTGTCTCCACTGAAATATAAATCCCACTCAACTCTGTATGTAATCACTAAGATAACAGTGTGATATACGGAGTTTAATGTGAAATGTGTTGTGCATGTGTATACTTTAGGTATTTTTATAAGCAGACAAACCATAAAAGAAGACGAAACAGTATAACGCGCTATTTGGATGGACTACGTAATCAATCGACAAGTGGATGGACGCTTCAGTTTATATATAAGTCAAATAAGCAAAGAATCAAATAAACAATAAGCAGATATATCCAGAATTATCTTTAGTCAGACGTAAAGTCAAGGCTAATTATGCATGAATACATACAATATAAACGATAAGATTCCAAAGATTCATTCAATGATCCCGAAAGTGTTTGTATCAAATTATCAAGTTAATTCATCACTTAATTGTTAATCTAAATAAGTATTCATTATTATCAAAAAAAGTATGAAGCTGTTACATCCTTTGTATGAACTACTACTTGGATTGCATACTTGATCTGGAAACAGCGCTTAATCTATACTCTATAAATGATTCTATTAAATCTTACCACAATATCATATCATCTAATTCATGGAAGCCTTTAATTCAACTACTATTAATCTGTCAAAACAACTCTTTAGAAGTCAGTAGTTCATGAGTTCGTAATAAAATATAGTTATGAGGATATAAGTAACTTCTTATTTCAATGTGTTATCACAATTCAAAATCCAAACAAATACTAGAGTTGACAAATAATTACTTCTCATTTAAAAAATTCGATGGTGAAACCCTGGAAGATGTAGAATTCTTCACATACCTGGGAAACATCATCGATGAACAAGGAGGTTCAGATGCAGACGTAAAGGCGAGGATTGGCAAAGCAAGGGCCTCATTCCTTCGATTGAAGAACATATGGAACTCAAAACAACTTTCAACCAATAACAAAATCAGAATCTTTAAAACGAACGTCAAGACAGTCAGTTCTACTGTATGGAGCTGAAACTTGGAGAACTACAACAACCATCATCAGGAAGATACAAGTATTTTTAAATAGCTGTCTACGCAGGATACTCAACATCCATTGGCCGGATACCATCACCAACAACCTTCTGTGGGAGAGAAAAAACCAGCTTCTAGCTGAAGAAGAAATTAGGAAAAGATGATGGAAATGGATAAGACATATATTACACAAATCATCAAACTACATCACGAGGCAAGCCCTGACTTGGAATCCTGAAGGGAAGCGGAGAAGATGAATGTCAAAGAACACATTACGTCGGGAAATAGAATCAAATATAGAAAGAGTGAATAACAACTGGAAAGAGCTAGAAAGAATTGCCCATGACAGGGTTAGATGGAGAATGCTGGTGAGCGGCCTATGCTCCTTCACGAGGAGTAACAGGCGTAAGTAAGTAAGTAAGTCATTTAAAAAATACCTAACAGAAAAGAAAAAAAAGTCAACTCAATGTCTGTTTAAAGTTCTATTGTATTATCTTTTCATACTTTATCATTTCATCTTTCATAGTAATCATCTTCTGTTAATGGAATCAATTTATCAGTACGCTGTAAGTTATATTCAAATTCAGCTAATTGTATCATAAAATTCCAACTTGGTTGCATTGGTATACAGATCTTTCGTAAATACATCCATGCATCCTACAAAAAATTAATAGAATTCAATAATTGTATACAATATGATGAACTAAGTGAGAAAGAAAGAAACAATACAACAAGATAAAACTGGAATGATATACCATCATTGAAAACCTGGTAGCATTGGACGGTCATTTTGTCCTAGTATGGGACTCCTCAGCAATGTGAATACACGATTCTTCATGCACGACTCGAATTCAGGACCTTTGGTCTTGTGCGTGAACGCTTAAGTTTTAGATCGCTGAGCCAGCATCCAACCATGTCGGGTGCGAGGCAGTCGCCCACCGAAGACACTGGGAGATGATTGATTGAAATTAGACATTAACACCGCTGGACGCCGACCCAGTGACCGAGAGGTTAGGGGTTCGTGCGCAGGACTAAAGGTCCTGGGTTCGGAACCTGAGTGAGGAGTCGTGGATTCGCATTGCTGAAGAGCCCTGAACTAAGACGAAAAACCATTCAGTGCCCCTAGTTTTTCAACGGTAGTTTAACATTCATCAGTTCATGGTCTCAACTACAACTTACTATCAGTAGATTTGTCTATTCACTGATTGATCTCATGGAAATCGTATCGATTTAATAGTTTGTCACTACATATTTTATTTGTAGTGTGATGCCTACTATTCAATCATTTAGTTTAATGTTAAGCTGAAACATTTACTCGTATATACTCACATTTCAATGAGATTTACACTGCGAGAGTTATAGATCCTGGGTTTGAATTTTGTGAGGCAGAATCGTGGATGCGCACTGCTGAGGAGTCCCACAATAGGACGAAACGGCTGTCCAGTGCTCCCAGGTTTTCTATGGTGGTTTAGCTTCAGTTCATACATGATCTCAACTATTGAAATATGTATGTAAATTCTAAATGTATTTGCATTATAAACTGTCAAAGGATGAATAAGGTAAGATTAATAAATAAATGAGGTTGTTTGTATTTGATAAAATAACACTGATTAGTGATTTAAAAAATCGAAATGTCTATTTAAAAAGATATTCATCATCAAACTTGACAATATTCTTTCCTACATGGACTCAAAAGACTAGCTTGGTTTTGGGGTAGGTAAGATGTTCGTCTGGCAAATGGAAAGACTAGTATCTTAGAAACTAATTCATCATGTTCTGTATTGTAACTATGAAATGTGTCCTTTATTGGTATGTGATCATAGTTATCTTCAAAGGATTGCTTGCATACGTTGGGCAGTTAAATGAACAGTGCTTAGGCTAGACTCTAAGAACTAGGTGAAGATGATAAATTGGTTGATAAGGTAGAAAATCTGTATCGACTGTGCTAGTTGAGTTATGTATAACCTATGACTAACCACCCCTAACCTTGATGTGATGTCTGCCGATGTAGGGGTAGGTTGAAAGAAAGTTACTAATCGATAATTGAAAATGTGGCATCAGTCGACAAAGTCATTGGTAATTAAACAAAACAATTTTGGTAGATGCAGTGTACCTGGTTGGTGTCTGTGAGCCCATCATAATCAGTGATTTGAGACTTTAGGTGACATGGCTCAATAGTCAGTCTCAGTGGATTAGAGATACTCATTCATTTCCTTATCTTATAGCTTGAGTTTCAAAATGATCTAATATTTTCTTTTTCAAAGTTTCAATAGCCAAATACTTAATTACTTACGTCTGTTACACCTTGTAGAGGAGCATAGACCGCCCACCAGGATTTTCTATCAATCACCTATGCCTAATAATTTCTGCTACCATCGATATTATTAATACTTTCATTACTCTGTCATTTATCTTAACAACTAAATCTCCCTGTTTCGATGCTGTAAAGCAACTTAAACTAATATACATATCCGTCACGTTCTACATCGCTCATTGTAGTGCACGAGAACACAAGTGAGGAACAAGCAAGTGTATTTGGATAAAAAATTACAGAATCTCTTAGTAAAATCTGAAAACCAAACAATAAATACTTCATTTGCAAAGGGTCAATCAATTGTCTTAGACTTGATTGTTCTTTCGTTTCCACATCGATCATTCTCTGTTCTTGTTCTACTCCCTTCGATCTTCCTAACCTTCTACCACCAGGTTTTTCAATTTCGATTGATAATACACAATCAAGAAAGTACAAGCATTTATAAATAACTGTCTACGCAAGATACTCAACATCCATTGGCCGGATACCATCACCAACAGCCTTCTGTGGGAGAGAACAAACCAACTTCCAGCTGAAGAAGAAATTAGGAAAAGACGATGGAAATGGATAGGACATACATTACGCAAACCGTCAAACTGCATCACGAGGCAAGCCCTAACTTGGAATCCTGAAGGGAAGCGAAAAAGAGGAAGGCCAAAGAACACATTGCGTCGGATAATAGAAGCAGATATGAAAAGGATGAATTACAACTGGACGGAGCTAGAAAGGATTGCCCAGGACAGGGTTGGGTGGAGAATGCTGGTGAGCGGCCTATGCTCCTTCACGAGGAGTAACAGGCGTAAGTAAGTAAGTAAGTAATACATACTAATCATGTCTGTCCACATCAGTAGCACACACTAGAATTATGGTGAACTACTAACATTCTTAAAAATTCTTTACAACGTAGTATAACATTTTAAGCAAAGATGGATAGTGGCTACCAGTGGAATCCAGTTTGACATGCGTTTCGTCCTATTTAGGACTGGTGAACTGGATGTACCTACATCATAGAGTTGATGTTCACTCTGTGATTCAAACTCGGTATCGCTCTCTCTAAACACCATCGCGTTATCCACATAGATACTGAGCCCTACGTTCGAATCCCAGAGTGAACATTATTTCTGTGATGCAGATATATCTAGCTAATCAGTCCGAAATAGGATGAAAAGCGCGCCAAACTGGATTTTACTGCTATTCATTTTTGCTTAAAAAAGCTTGTGACTTAAAGCTATATCAAAGCAATCCGCACAGGTTGCATATATATATCAACATGAAACGGATCAATTGCAGTCCTAAAAAACGATAGGAAGATACAAGTAAAACAACACCAAGTGAATTTAAAGTTCACCCCAATGCACAAGCAGATGGCTATCAGGACTGAGCAGATAAGTGAATAACGCGATGGCACTATTCACTGAAAGAACAAAATAAAGTAATTTGATAGTTGAATTCTATTTCAACTTACTTTTAAACTCATTAATTCATATTTAATAAGATAAGCAATTGCAATCACTACAGACTGATTAAACATCCATTTTGAAATAATTAAAACACGTTGTCCTCTTAATCGTTTTTCTTCTAAAATGAAAAATAAACATTTTTAAATTTTTGTTTTTCAACAAAGAAAGAAGGAATAATTTAGATAAGTATCAATTTAGGAGTTATGGAGATTGTTAAATTTTTTGATTGAGATCATGAACCGATTGATGTTAGACCACCATTGAAAACCTGGAAGCGCTGAACGGCTGTTTTGTCCTATTGTAGGATTGGTTGAGGTTAGACATTAACACCATTGGATGCCGGCTCAGTGGTCCAGTAGGTTAAGCGTTCGCACGCGAGACTGAAGGCCCTGGGTCCGAAGCCCACGAGCGGGATCATGGATGCGCACTGCTGAGGAATCCCACGATAGGACGAAACAGTCATCCAGTGCTTCCAGGTTTTCCATGGTGGTCTAACGTCAATCGGTTCATGATCTCAATCAAAATTTAGATAAGATTTAAATAAAAGTGGTGAGATCTATAATTTATGGATGATCTCTGAGCAACGCTAAAGTAATATTGAGAATATCCACCTAATGTCTAGGGTTAAATAAAGGTTATAAACCTGTATAAAGGATAAAGATTATGATTTACAGTTGATGATTTAGAATAGGAATTAGATTTAGAGTTTTCATCACAAACTAACATCAGCTATAATGTCAAGACTCTATTTAACCAAATGGATAAGTGGATTTCGTTCCAAAATCCGAGTCCCATCATATTATACCTGATTGGTTCATCTATAAATTATAGTCTCGCCGAATAATTGCTAAAACAAAACCTTTAGAACTAATGGATGATTACCAACAGTTTAAAAGTTATGCAACAAGTGAAATATTGATCCGGAGATTATACACAAGATTACAGAAAGTTTTCAATGCAGGAAAACTATAACATGATTTTGATAGTGATATCAAAACTAAAACACTAATTATCTAGATTAGCCATCTTCTTTTGTATCGATCACTTTGATTGATCGTGTGAAGCTAATCCCATTGGTCAGTATACTAGGAATTTACATTTTTGTACTCGTGAACACCCTCCAGAGTAGTCAAGCTAATGGTTTGATCAGGGTAGTAATTTTCTGCCAAAATCTGCCAGTATCAAAGTCCTTCTAACGACGGAATAAATCGGTATTCAGATTAAATAATTTGAGGTATGCATGAGAAGAAATCTGTTCAACCTTTATTCTTACATTGGCCAGCCTCAGACCCAATAAGGCGATAGTACTTCTTTATTATAAACTGATATAGTTTGGCTGATATTCACACAGCTCTCTGATTTTTAGTTTCATAACTTTAATTCTTCTTATTCAAGCATCATTGTATAATTATTACTATCATTATCCATAATCTTTCAACTACATGTACAATCTAGATAGTCTTCATTCATTTGTACTATAGCCTACTTGATTCCAAACACTTAACAAGTTGTGTAACCTTCCATTTATGATCTGAAACTACATTACTGTTTCTCTCATTCTACACTGCCTATATTTTTTTCTCATTATTAACTAACATATAAACTTATTCAAGTTAACGCGGCTTATTATTCATCTCAATATTGACTATTTTATTCATACGTTACAATTTCGAAACACATTCGTTTTAAGCTTGATCACTTCCTTGGATCATTAGCCTGAATGCGTGACTTCAGAACCTGACGACAATTTCTCGAAACGAATATTCTTCTTTAGTATATCTGTGTTCTAATATGATGGGGAGTTTTAATAGTTACATAGCCCCCTATCCTATCATCTGACTAATTATGTAAATACAATATCACCAAGAATACGTCTCATTTAATGTGCACGTCTGATCATAGTTTGAGGTATCAGTTGTTATTAGCAACAAGGTAAGTGCTATAGATAGTTACCTCCCCTAGATACAAAGATTCAAGCTATATAGTATGATTTTTTTAAATAAAAAATTGTACTTAGTCCCTGAGAACCGTAGACAAATTGGAAAGAAACAAAAGGTGATCAGTTTACAAAATGGTTAGAGTCGGGAATCCTTGTAATATAACAATATTAATTATGTTTAGCTAGTATTTACTCGTTTCCCTTGCATTTCGTTGGCTAAATTAACTGTTGTCAAACTATCTGTACTCTTATTGATTAACACATATTTCATTTAGACAGCTCAACTGTTTAAGAATAGACTGTTGTTCTATTTATCAACTTTCATATGAATTTGGTTTAAGCTAATCATGATTTATTGTAGAAACACTTGTTTTTTATATGTTCTCACGCATAATTATCTTTGAATAGCAAAGTAATAATAATAGTAACCATTGGAAAGATAGACTTACGAATAAAATCACAAGCGTTGTCCAAAAATGATAACAGTTCACAATTTTCAGTTGGTTGAATATTCAACATAGAGTCTTTACAATTCTGGTATCTAATGAGAATTGAAGAAAAACTCATTATATTCACGTAATCCAGTCAGTGTTTAATACCATTTACATAATAACACATCAAAATAAATTGCTGATGAATTTCTACCTGGTTGGGATCCGCGAGACGATAGCAACCGATGGTTAGACAACTTGAATGATATGGCTCAAAATCGTTTGCAATGGCGCAGGTGCATCCACTCTTTGTGTTCTCTCAAATTCTAACCTTCTGAATTCTTTATGTCCCTTTCTTTTTTTATCTTTCCAAATTTATTTCGTTCGATTATACTCCTTGAATAACATCTTCAACCCCTAATGTTTCCGATTACTGCTTATACTCTTACTACCTCTACCACTACGAGATTTGAATCGACAACTGCATCTCTGTGATAACGTGGTATGGCAACTCGAACTGATGTATGTACGTACAAAGTTCTACGTTATTACTGACTGACTGATTTAATTTAAAAATGATAAGTTCAACTAACGACTGAATATTGAAGAAATTCTGATGGCATACAACCTGTAGCATTATAACACCAACTGATTAAACACTAAGAAGATCAACTAGTTGATGACTAACGTTTAGACCAATAAGCCATTTAAAACATGAAATATTGTCACAGTGGCATATATGGTTCTCGAGCAAACTATATAAGTAGTCATGATTGTATAATACGATCAAAGCACTAGTCAGTCAGTCAGTCACAATGCAGGACCAGGCACATATATGCATCGGTCCAAGTTGCCATACCTCATTAGCACAACAAGATGGACACCGGATTCATAAAAGTAGTTAATTCAGAAGTGGTAATATATAAAAGAAAGATTGCATATGAGGATATAGTACAGGAAGAAAGAATTAGTTCGTAGAAAGTAAGATCTCTTAGTTTAAGGGAAGACAGAGAGTGTATACACCAACGCCATTGTGATCGATTCTGAGCCATGTCACACACAGTCTCCAATCATTGGTTACGATAGTCACGCGGACTCCAACCAAGTAGTCTGCATCTACCAACATTGCTCAGACTAGAAGTTAGTGACTTCAAGCACTGATGCCACGTTTTGGTTTAACCGCCCCCAACTTTCTTTCTACCATCTCCAACACCGGTTAGCATTGCACGTCGTGGTAATCGGTGTTCGGGCATACGTAACACGTGACCCAACCATCTCAGTTGATGAAGATTCCCAACTACGTAGTAGTATGTAAGTACTACCAGTTACGTTTTGACGATAAAATCTAGTTAGAAGAATAGTCAAGTGAAATTCCAAACAAGTCCGGTGGGTACATTTTGTTAGTTTAATCTGTTTTCTTAACTGTCAAGACATTAATGCAGTTTGTGAAACTTTTTCACGAATTATTATTTAATATAAACAACAAATTTGGTTTATGAAAAGTTTTACCAACAATTATTTTAATATGTCTCTTAGAATTTCCAATATGAATTAAGGTTGACTGACAAACATATGGGAAACATAATGGAGATAGAACCTGACATACATTCCGCAACGTTGACTAGATTACCTTTACAGATTACAGCTTTTTACTGGAACGACAAGAAATCTGTAGTAAGTGTCCTCATTAGGGAGTATACAAAAAAGTTCGTTAAATCACCACACTTAATGCATATTTTACTGAATAAAATTTGCTGATCAAATGCTCTATTTGTAACAGATATAGAAACACTAAGGCTTGTTGTATCAAAAAACCACAAACGTATCAAAACAAGAAAGGTAAGAGTTGAACTAACATCACAATTGGTGAATAAACCGGAACTGAAAAAAATCATCCTACCTTTAACTTTTTCATGTAACACAATTTTGATTGGTTTAATGTAGCAAATTTTGTTAAGTTAGAACAACAATGAAAAATAATTAAATCAGTTCGTCATTCACAAACTCACATAGGATCGTCATTATCTAATGCACAATTTATATGTGCTACAATATTCATTTGTCTATGAAGTTTACGATCACCAGCATGTTGAACTGTACCAATATATAAAACATTCGGTAAAACTTCCAAAGGGTAAGTAGAAAACGATTCAAGCTCCTTAAAATATAATATTTTGAAAAAAAGAGTATTATTATTTCCATAAATTATTAGCTTTTGTTCTATCAAACAAGTTTAGAACTAGCCTTATAGCTTTAAAGTAAATCACTCAATAAGCATTGCACAGTGATGCACACCGTGTTAATTATTCATAAAACCAGCTAAATAAAGATGATCAGTCATTATTCTTGACTATTTATCAAGAATATGTACGTGGAAAACTTTTGCGCTCATTAAATAACCAATATAATATTCTCCAGCTCACTCACTTCTGAGCACAATCAGATAAAACATTCATTACCATACTCTTTTTATAACGTTTAGAGTATATTTAGTTCAATGCAGTAATCAGTTTGGTGTTCTTGGTACTCAATCAAGTTGTTCTTTAAGTTCACTGGTTTTAATATCATTGGTAAGTATATAACCATTCTTTATACAAGATATGTAAAGTATGCTGTAAATTTCTGTTTAAACATCTCCCCAGCATACTACCACTTCACGTTGTTATAAGTAAATACTTGTACTAATTTTGCCATACTTTCCTGAACTTAAAAAGGATTAGTTCCACTTAAGTAATTACTATCTTTTTGTTTGGTTAATGTGATTTAAAAATTCTCTTTACATAATGCTTGTTTTCATCCTTCGTTAACGATACATAAAAATGATGTCCGAAACTTAAAGGTGCTGTATTTATCCGACCGATTATAATAGAACAATGACTTTGTGAATAAAACACTCTATGATAAACCATCAGGTCGTGTGTTCGTATCTCGTTTGATTTACTTCAGTTTAAACAACTAAGACTAATCATTTAGCAAAGTCGCACTTCCTGAATTCAATCGTTTAATCATAAGTCCCATATTATCTTTCCAGATAAAAACATCAGTTTTTGGTAGTTTAGTATCTTGTACTACTTCACACTTGCAGACTTTAATAACTCAGACAGCATGTGATAATCAAGTTATTTTTACCGTCACAATGACGCCACTCTTTTCGCAGGAAATTGTAATTTTCAGCAAATATACGTCTTATATTCATGTCTTTATAATTCCACGCCTATGCGCATTGTGTCATTCATGATTTTATTCAATGCCTGTGTGTTACACTGAATATAGTCTGTTCTGAGTTATATTAACGTTTGTAGTAAGTAGCATAAGTGAGTTGACACGTTTGCCTTATCTGCTTTGCTTTATTTTTCCTGATTGTCATAGTAGTGCCTGTACAAATAAGTGCTTGAGGTTGTGGTAACGTCCCATTACTTTTCTTTGTGTTTATAAATTGTAATTGATGTATTATAACATTAACTTTTGAATGCAATAACTTTATTGTCAGTTTTGAGTTAATGTACTTTTTTCACCAAAAAGTAAGTATATCGACCTTAATTTACATTCAGCGTCTTATTACCGTCAACACACAAGCGGAGTTAGCCTAGATGTAATATACGGAATTAACTGAAAGATTTATATTCATGGCAGATTCTTTTATTCAAATTGAAGTCAGATAATCGGGACACAACATGCTAGTGTAGCGGTAAGTTAATCCCAAAATAAATAGCTGTGTAAGTTTTCGATGCCCAATATATATCTCACATATTGATAGCCTGTCGAATATATCTTCGAACCTCCTCGCTTCTGTCTTTTGATTTCACTTGGTGGGTACGATTCACATTAGACGTTACTGGTTAAAGCGTTGTCAAACTCCAAATACCTGTGGCATCTTCAGTAGAAACAAAAATACGATAAAAATTGGTGACAAAAAGTCTTTAAATTGTGAAATGGGTCTTACTCGTGGTAAGTACATTATTTTATCACTTCTCATGTATGGATATAAACGAGTAAATGTCTCAAATCCTCCTAAATATAAAACATAAACTATGGAAACTTCGTTTACAAACCTTCCAGTATTTTAACTAAGTGACGGCTCCCGTTATCATACAAAAGCTTTGCAGCTCTCACTGCATCCCCTGAAAGATTTAATGATTTAAATAAGAGAAGTCATAGGTACACCTTCAGAGTCCAATGATGATGTATTCCCATCATAAACAATGACATTCCACCTGCAGTCAAGTTCTGCCTCATAAGGTATTCTGAAAGAACAAGCATTCAACTAACGAATTAGTTAAAACATCTAGATACTCTTTTCAAATTCTTAGCTGTTATAATATGTGACTTATTATAGTCGTCAGCAGTTCGCGAGTCTTAAACACATCAAATGAATATATGTAGAAGTATTACCAAACAGGGCACAATAACATGGATCACTTATGAAAGCGTGAGTAAATTTCTGATTCAAAATGTTATACAGTTCACTTGGTTTTATGATCTCTAGTTTGGCCATGTTGAAATAACGCGTCCAAATAGTTATGACTATCAAGGTCAAATATAGTAATCAGTGTTCAGTGTTCAGTCTTCAGTCTTCAGTCTTCAGTAATAAGGATAGTAGGTTGATGAACCTGTGTTAATCCTGACAGTTTGCTTTCCAGTGAAGGTCCAGCTTTTCCTTGAAAGTATTCACTGATGGGGCTGATACCACTTGTTCGGGTAAGGCGTTCCAATGATTGACTACTCGATGAGAAAAACGGGATCCCACTTTAAGTTTATTAGATCGTGGTTTATGAACCTTCTTGCTATGACCTCGGAGATTATTAGTGCTGGAGGGAGCAAAAAGATAAGACACATTGACACCCAAATCATAATTAAAGATACGAAATGCCATTATAAGGTCACCTCGTGTCCTACGATACGACAAGGGGAAAAGATTTAGGCGTTTTAAGCGCTCATCGTAAGGGAGTCTAGAAAGACCCTTCACTAATTTCGTTCTCACACGCTGGACACGCTCAAGGGAGTTAGTGTCCTTTACTAGACACGGGCTAGCTGCTTGAATACAGTACTCTAAATGTGGTCTAACATATATGGGATATAAAATTCGAAACGTTTCCTCGTCAAAAGATTTGAACGCTCGGCGAAGTGACCATAACGCACGAAAACCTTTGACAGCGGCTGCTTTGCAATGCGTAGTTGTTTTTAAATCATGACTTAGTACTATTCCTAAGTCTTTATGCTCTTGAACGCATGGAAGAGGTTTACCCTCAATAGTGTAACGGTAACTATTACCGTGACCGACGAGCATTAGTACACTTTTCCTAGCATTGATTTCTAAGCCCCACTCTCGAGCCCATCTAACTAAATCGTCTAAGTCAGCTTGAAGATCCACATGATCAGCCGCACTTTTTATTGTTCTCCAGATTTTTACATCATCTGCAAACAATAATGTCGACGACCTAAGTAACAGTGGTAACTCATTAACGTAGAGAAGGAAGAGCAGAGGGCCTAAGATGGTCCCTTGGGGTACACCACTTTTGACCGGCTTCCAATCGGATAGCGTTCCATTGACCCTAACTCTCTGTCTGCTGTCACATAAGAAATTTCCTATCCACTCATGTACAGTACCTATTATTCCGAAGCTCGTGAGCTTCTGCATAAGACCTACGTGTGAAACCTTGTCGAACGCTTTGCTAAAATCTATGAATATCACATCGACAGACAGACCGTGATCTAGGGCTGCTGTCCAATCCTCCCTCGCAATAAGCAAGTTAGTCAAGCAAGAACGCTTGTTACGAAATCCGTGTTTCTCAGGAGCTAACAGATTGTGTGAATCTATGTGGCTTAGCAACCTAACCCGAATTATCTTTTCGAGTAACTTAACGACTATGCTAGTTAGACTGACAGGCCGGTAGTTAGATACTATCTGTCTCTGACCGTCCTTAAATATAGGACTAACTATAGCGTCCTTCCAATCTCTAGGGAGTTGAGCGAGTGAGAGGGACATGTTGAAGAGTGTCGCAAGCGGTTTTGAAATAATGTCCGCAAGAGATGATAGCAGGTCGATAGACCTGTGTCAATCTTGACAGTTTGCTTTCCAGTGAAGGTCCAGCTTTTCCTTGAAAGTATTCACTGATGGGGCTGATACCACTTGTTCGGGTAAGGCGTTCCAATGATTGACTACTCGATGAGAAAAACGGGATCCCACTTTAAGTTTATTAGGTGGCGGCTTGCGAACCTTCTTGCTATGACCTCGGAGATTATTAGTGCTGGAGGGAGCAAAAAGATAAGACACATTGACACCCAAATCGTAATTAAAGATACGAAATGCCAATATAAGGTTACCTCGCAACCTACGATATTACAAGGGGAAAAGGTTTAGGCGTTTTAATTGCACATAGTAAAGAATTTTGAAAAGACCCTTCACTGATTTTGTTCTCACACGCTGAACATGCTCAAGTGAGTTGATATCCTTGGTCATACATGAGCCAGATGCTTGGATACAGTACTCTAAGTGTGGACATACGTAGGTGGTGTATAAAATTCGAAACATTTCGCCAAAGCATTTGAATGCACGGCGAAGTGACCGTAAGGCGCGAAGCACTTTGGCAACTGACACGTTGCAATGTGTAGTTGTTTTCAAGCCGTGGCTTATTATTACTCCTAAGTCTTTATGTTCCTGCATGCATGGAAGGGACGTACCGTCAATGGTATACTGGTAAATGTTACCATGCCCGATATGTATGAACGTGCTCTTCCTATGATTAATTTCTAAGCCTCAACATCGAGCCCACCTGACTAATTCGTCTATTCCAGCTTGGAGATCAGAACGATCAGTTTCACCCCTCATTATCCTCCAGATTTTGACATTATCCGCAAACAATAATGTCGACGACTTAAGCAATCGCGGTAATTCATTAACGTAGAGAAGGAAAAGTAGGGGGCCTAAGATGGTGCCCTGGGGCATAACACCTTGACCGGCTCCCATCCAGATAGCGTCCGATTTACCCTCAGTCTGTCTGCGATCATATAAGAAGTTTACTATCCATTCCTGCACGGCACCTGTTATTCCGAAGCTCGAGAGCTTCTGCGCAAGACCTAAGTGTAAAACTTTGTCAAATGTTTTGCCGAAGTATATGAATATGGCATTAATGGGCAGACTGGTATCTACAGCTTCCGTCTAATCAACTCTCGCAATAAGTTGGTCAAGCATGAATGCTTGTTTCGAAACCCGTGTTGCTCGGGCGTTAACAGATTGTGTGAATCTATGTGATTTATTAATTTGGCCTGAATTATCTTCTCAAGTAACCTAATGACTATGCTGGTTGGACTGACATGTCGGTAGTTGGATATGATCTGTCTCTGACTATCTTTAAAAATAAGACTGACTAGCATCTTTACAATCTGGAGGGGGTTGAGTGTGGGAAAAGGACATGTTGAAAAGCATCGCGCGTGGTCTTGAAATAATGTCCACGACAGATGACAGCAATCGTGGGTGTAACCCGTCAGAGCCCGGTATCTTACAAGGCTTGAGGTTGGTGATCAATGGAAGAACGTTTTCTTCAGTCACGCGTACAGGTCCTATGGCTAGTATCTCAGTGATGTAGTTAGGACAAGTACTTTTACCAATACACGTGGGGTAGACTTCTCAGAAGTAGTTTGGTAATGTCTCATCTTTTCCCAAGTCTGATTCAGCCGGCAACTCTGAATTTTCGTGTGACAGTAATGGGAGAATACGTCATCCATTTCTAATCAGTCGCTGTTGTATCAACTTGACCACCGGCATCCAGTGGTGCTTCACTCATTAATTGTTTCGAGATGGAAACCCCTATTGCATGCTGCACAGTGGGATGTTTGGCACGCGTCGTAACAGCACTTACAATACTGACACACTATTCGCCATCAGTACCCATGTAACAAGAATAGACCTCAACAACCGTTTCGCTAACCAGCGTCAGAATGTTAATTACCTCTTGGATGAGTAGTGTATTGCTAGAACAGCAAAGCACACAAAGCCAATGGGAGTGGATCTTTGAGCAATTTTCATATGCAGTAGGACTGAAGCGAATACACACCTTATAGAGCTACTTGTTACACCCATCACATTGCCGTACTTCCTCCATAAGGGATCAGCGACATGAATGTCCACAATTATGATCACAGCCGGCCATCTTAAAAATCAACTAAAAATGGCAATGCACAAGTGGATTTGAAAAAATTTCAAACCTTAACCGAAATAAATCGAGTAAAAGTTCACCATGTATGTTTTGATGCAATAAATACGTAAAAGGAAAGTCAACTGTTAAGTCCCGATAAGTACGATGAATGGTAACTTTTTTGATCCTTTTATGGACCAATACTATACGTATATTATTAACGTATTATTGTAATTAACTAAAGTGTTCATATCCATGTCCCTCTTATTATAAGCATTATTTTGACCTGTGAACTATTACTATACGATTTGCCATTCTCGAATTATGCCCTGTCTATTAATTACTACCTCCTTCATTCACAGCCACATTTGGCTACGTACTGTACAAATGTTGTTTCCTATTTTATGGCACGATGTGGTCTGTTTGGTTTGTATATAAACCCAGTCTGTGTTGAAATAAATGATTCATAACGCAGAGGTTGATATTTGTGTTCTGGACTTAACAGGCAGGGTTAGGCGGGAAGCAGGACCGATAAGACTCTAGACCGCTCGCACGGGTTTTATGCATCATTGGTCCGATCGATAATTCACTGATCTCTGGTTGACGGTATTATTACGTATACATTAGCAGGGCACTCAGGCCACAAGTTATAACATCAACACACACATGTGCGAAATCCATTCGACTGAAATAAATTCAACTAAAGTGGAAACAGTAGATTTTATGTGTAATTTAACTCAGAGAGGACAAATACTATTATCCTTTGCCAGATATTTACTAACTTCTCGTGCATCAAAAAAGCCTGTTAAGTAAATTGGGGGCCTAAACAATCGAGTAAATCTCCTGCACTCTGTTAATTTCATGATCACAAATATTTTGCCCATGGAGATGGTTCACAACGCTGTGTCAGACATAAGTTTGGAATCATACTAACTCTGGTAACAACTTATTTTCTGGATAGGCATCTAATGTTCATTCAAGCTTCACGACCCAAAATGAATACGACTACACGTATCTCATCTCTGCATTCACTCTTCTGTTCCTCTGATCAGTCTACTAATACACCACTAACGATGATTTTTCGCTGCTTATTGTTAACGTTATCCACATACCTTCTCAATATCGTTTTCCAAAAATGTTTATAAAAATTAGTGTGACATTCTCTTCAGGTGGGTTCTATAGTGTCTAGTACTACGTCAAGCCCATAAAAATCGTTCTAGCCTTGGAGTACGCCAGTTTATCTACTCTTTCTGAGCTACGCTCTGACCCTGTTAATTATTCGCCAATTAACCTTGACTGTTCTTCACACCAGAGTGAATCATTAGTATGGGCGACGTATACGGAGTCTGCTCGATTTGGA